GTAATACCTCGGTATGAATGTCACGGTACAGTATTTATTGAATCATTTACAGGAAAAAACAAAACTTATGAAAATACTCCAAAAAAGTGCCAAAAGTGTCAATGACATACAAATTAGCCATCTATCTGTAAGCTTTGAAACAGGAACTTCAATTTTAATAACAAAAAAATATTAAACCATGTAAAAAAAATAAAGTTTCAATTTAGTATTGTTGAAAACTCATCACATTCAACATTTAATCACTCACTCACTTAGATAGAGATGGGTTTAAAGGAAAATCATCATATAAATATAATCTGGTAAAAGCTGGTATCTCTGGGCATTTACAATGTCCCCTGCAACAGAAAAAAACCCCTCTTATTTGGGACTGAGGTTGCAGGGACAAGAGAGATATGACTTGGCCCAGGTTGACAGCAGTGGGTAACGTTGTGCATTGTCTTTCCCTCACTTGAGAGGACAAGCCATGAGTAAGATAGAGGTCTCATGTCTGCATCAATCTGAACAGTGTGCTGACAACACCGCTATTCAGTACGCGCGCGACAACACAGCTGATAAGAACTCGCGCGACAACACCGCTGATAAGAACTCGCGCGACAACACCGCTGATAAGAACTCGCGCGACAACACCGCTGATAAGAACTCGCGCGACAACACCGCTGATAAGAACTCGCGCGACAACACAGCTGATAAGAACTCGCGCGACAACACCGCTGATAAGAACTCGCGCGACAACACCGCTGATAAGAACTCGCGCGACAACACCGCTGATAAGAACTCGCGCGACAACACCGCTGATAAGAACTCGCGCGACAACACCGCTGATAAGAACTCGCGCGACAACACCGCTATTCAGTACGCGCGCAACAACACAGCTGATAAGAACTTGCGCGACAACACCGCTATTCAGTACGCGCGCGGCGACAACCGAGTTTTCCAGCTCTTTTTTATCCCCGCTTCTAGCAGCACACTCCATTTCCGCATTACTGGATCTGTAGCGACAACAGACCGCAAGGGATGATGGTCAAGCATGGGCTGATGGGAATTGTAGTTTTCGCTACCTCCCGTTCACTTCATTCGCCTGAGCAAATTTTCTCAGAAGACCGAGTCTTTACCGAGTCATGTTTTACCGAGTCATGCGACTTCGGTAATATCGAAAAAAATTAATATTGCGGTATGACGGTATTTACAATACCGTTACATCCCTAATGGCTGCACAATGTTCTGCCTTGACCAAAAAGCTGCATGTGAACACACCAAATGGACAAACACTAAACACTCCGCCTGCATGGGAGAATTAGTCTTTCTGCATGGCAGGAGGCAGTAGTCTATTTTCTCATTCCCAACGGAAAACCAGAACGTTCGACGCATGTGTGCAAAGCATAAAGAAAGCAGTATTCAGTAACATAATGACAGTAATTGTCACTCACCACAGAGGGATTTGCTCTTGCAAGTATATCTGATACAAAAAAATGTCACTTCGACCAGCTGGTTTGTTCATAAGCTTACATAAATGCGATCCGCTGATGAATCACGGTTTTAAAATGGGCTCTAGTGTCTCTGTATGCTTGGCTACACACAGTAAACAGCGGTGAGATTGGTGAACCGATGACCTTCACGCCCAATCACAGTCATTTCTGTTGAGTACGTGAACACAATGGCAAATCAGCGCCGTTTAAGAACGGGCACCACAGCGCTCAAATGTTCACTGGAAACGGATGTTTTTTTAAATTTCAGTTTCAATTGGTATCGAATTCCAGTATCGCGACTACCCTCTTTTGTATTGGCGACAAGGTTGTCAAAACAATTCCCATTCAAATGAATGCTTTACAAAAATAACAAAAAGCAAACACAGACCATTTCTTGGACTATGTCTATACTAATCCAGGTAAATTTGAACAACATGTTTTCATCTAAAAAGGCCTCATATCCACAATATAATTTTCAGTTATTTCCAAAAAAAGGTCCTCCACACTTAAACAGCTAAAAACGCTCTCGTTCATGTTCTGTGCATGCGCAGAAGCTTTTACTAGCATTAAATCCGCTTGCCATTTATTTACTTTCAGTCACTCTGAAAATGTCTGGTCTGTAACGCAACTGACATCTGCTGCTGCCGCTGAAAAAAAGCTACAACTTAAGCCTGGTTTATACTTCCGCATCGAGTGATCGGCATAACCCATGGCGCATACCTTGCACGTTGTCGTGCATTTATTCTTCTGCGCACTGTTTGTGTTGCTCTGCAACAACACTTCCAAATCGCTAGCTGGCAGTCGAATTTCTTTGCTTTTTATTTGTTTCTAAAAGAAACCTTAATGTACAAGTAGCTAAAACTCGCTCATTCTGAGGCAGGAGCCAGGGGACGTGCAACAACTTTAATCATAAGGTAAACACAAAACAACAGAACAACAGTTTCCATCTGGAGCTCCTTCACGGGATTCGACACTTGTAAACACTCGCTCCAATGGGTTTGTGCGGCTCTCGCCCACCCTCACAATCACCAGCATTACAAAGCTGACCAATCCTAGAGCTTGTGCTACGTGTTGATGTGACATGTTGTTACATTTTTGGAAAGGTATGCGTCAGCGTCGACGAGGGGTATGCGACCGTGCATAAGCATGCATTTGACGCAGAAGTATAAATCAGAATTAAATGTTCCATGACCTTTAAAGAAAAGCAATATGGAGCATGTACAAACTGACATTAATCTTTAAAAAATATGTCAAAAAATGACTTTATAACAAACAAGAAACAAAATTCCATGTTTTGATAAATTGTTTTACATGACTAAAATGAATCATCCACTTCGAAAGCCATCGTTTTCACAGTCCACACTGCAACACGAAAATATTTAACCACTTTGGATAGCGTTTTCAAAAAGATATGTTTTATTTTCAAAAAACGCTGTCTCAGTGTGGACGGAAGGCAAAAACGGAGAGGAAAATATGTTTTAAAAGAAATAGTGTCATAGTGTGGACATGGCCTTAATATTCGTTTTTAAGCAATCTTGCGTTCATGTATTCATGCAATGTCATTAATCGCCAAAGTTCAATACAAACGCAAGTACAAAGGTCGCGTGGAAGAACCCAGATGTGTCCTTGATAACGTAGACACATAGCATCAAATGAGCACAATACTCGCTTTAAAGGCTGATTTATACCACTGTGTTGAGTGATCGGCATGACCCACGGCGCCTGCCTTGCACGTAGTCGTGCATTTACACTTCTGAGCACTGTTTGTGTTGCTCTGCAATAACACTTCCAAAACACTAGTTGGCAGTAGGTTTTTATGTTCCTCTGTGTCGTGTTTCTTCGGAGGTACTTATTTAATCATAACAATAGTTTCCATCTAAAGCTACTTCACAGACTCGACACTTGTTATTGTTATTGCGACGTGTAGTTACATTTTTTGAAAGGTGTGCGTCAGCCACGGCTAGGGCTATGCTGCCCCAGAGCATACGTGTGCAATTGATGCATAACTAGAAATCAACCTTTAGTCTGAGACGTCATTTCAGCTAGAGGAGGGCAGCGCAGTACAAAATGGCAGCAGCACATCTATAATGAACATTATTTACAATTTACATTATTTACAACTCATTTATTTTAGAACTTTCACACATGCGCGAACATGACACGGTTAAAGTAGATCTTTACATAAATATATTTTAAAAGGCGTAAACCTATGGAAAGACCTTTAATTGCTGAAATTCATATTAAAATAAGCTTTATTTGCACTGTGCAAAGTAACCTCATGCTGTAAGGCATTTGAAGATATACATTAAATGGAAAAACGTTCATTCATATTACGAACGTTGTAACGTTAAATTTTTTTCCGTTAAAAAGTGTAAAGGTCATCAAATGGAGGATCGCAGAATATAATTTTATCGTTTTGTGTTTTTCGATGTCTTCAGAGTTCGTTCTTCCAAGTTAAATGAACAAGATCGATTTTCAGGTTATCGCGAGAGTTCTTTGAGTTCTTGGAAATAAACAGATCAAGATGGCGCCAGGCCTTTCTTATATGACCCTATACATGCCTATAGCGTGAACACGTAATTTGAGTCATGCAAATGCTTTTACGAAATCGCAGTTTCACCATTTACAAGTAAATGGTAATGGTTTTCAAAAACGTTTACAATCCCCCAAAACATTTATCGTGTAAATGAGCACCCAAAACACACAAAATGTTATTAGTAAAAATTGTGTCATTTTTAATCACCACAAACATAGAAGATAAAATATATGTGTGCTAAAACACATAATAAAGACATTTGAAGAGCATTTACAAAATGCATTTAGTAAAATATAAATCACAACTGGGCCCAAATTACAACAGTTTGTCTAAAAAAACTGTAATACATTTCCCTTATGACTTATCTGTAATTAGATCAATGTTTTACGCCTATATTCATATCTAAATTCACAAAACACACACAAATGAACACAGGCATGTCTTTCTAGTAGCTATATCGCGCCGCGCCGCCAAACTGCGATACTTCACGAGGTTTGACGTAACCAAGCGCATACAAAAATACACAGATCCGCTCTTCACACGCTATATTAATCTTGCTTAGCAAACAAAGCGTTAAAACCGATCGAGTGGTGTCTAATAGTCGAAGTGATACGACGAAACTCGCGGTTTGAAGCAGTAAACGTCAATAATTCACAATTACATTCAATAACATTCAAATGGCGATGCAACACAATACAATAGAGGAACCGTCAGCCAGCGAAAATGGGAGATAAATAATCATCCAACACTTATCGGGTGGAGATTACCTCAAAATCACTCTTGATAATAGGGTCTCAAACACAACAGACGTTTTTCAGCCGCACTTTGGGTGTCTACTTGAGAAAAACTAATACGCAAAAAGCCTGGCTAAAATGTAGTTCAGCATTTGCCACAGACGGAGTCCTTCTGGCGAACCTGCTTGAAGTAAATGTCACACTGCTGTAACACCACGCTCCCTCCTGCAAGTAAATAGATAATATTTAAACAATGTGTCTTACCTTTTACCGAGTCCCTTCTGAGAGCATTGAAATGAGAGCCGACGAGCTCCCTGCCATGAAACAAAAATGGCTCTCAGAGCTTCAGAGGGCGAGAGTTTCGGAGTGGCTGGCTGGAAGAAGGGGCGGAGCCACCGCGAAAATAGCTAGCTGGGTTCAAAATTGTTTTTAATAAGTGCACTTGAATTATTTAATGTTTTTTTGTGTTCAAATAGAGATAAATGTATTTATAATATACAAGAAAATATGCCCTTGGTCTGTTAAATAGTTTTATAAATTAACATTTTTACTAGTAATGCAGTCATAAATTGTCATAAATAATGTCACAAATACACATACACATCAAATATAAATGTTTATTTATAAAGAAAACATCAAAATGGGTGATTTGTATTAATACAAGGTTGTAGCTTAGGAGTGGGGGATGGGCAAGCAGAAGCACAACCCCCACCAACTGGTTGAAAAACAAAATACATGCTCAACAGTAATAATGTGTATCTCACAATTTACAGCTTTGTTCTTTGTAATTCGTAAACATATCTGACGTCACGTCAACACAGCAACGTGAAGATTATGAACATTTACATTAAAAAAGCACCAAACTTCACAAAACAATATTATAAAAAAAAATTAGCAAGCATTTATAAGCAAATCACAACAATTGCAATATGTCTGTTGATATTTGGAGACCTCCACAACAAATGCTAGGATATAGCATTGTATATGCTGTGTGCCATGAAACAAAATGGCTGCCAGAGCTTCAGAGGGCAAGAGTTTAGGAGTGGCTGGCTGGAAGAAAGGGGCGGAGTCGTCACAAAAATAGCTAGCTGGGGTCAGAATTGTTTATAATAAGTGCACTTCAATTATTTATTTATTTATTTATTGTCGTTAAAAAAGGAAGAATGTGTTTATAATATACCCGAAAAAACGCCCACGATCTGCTGAATTGTTTTGCAAATTAACATTTTTTCTAGCAATGCAGTCATAAATTGTCATAAATAATTTGCCATAAATACATCAAATATAAATGTTTATTTATAATAAAAAACAAAGAAAAGGGTGATCATATTAATAAAAGATTGTTGTTTAGGAGTGGGGGATGGGCAAGCAGAAGCACAACCCCCACCAACTGGTTGAAAAACAAAATACATGTTCAACAGTAAGAATGTGAATCTCACTATTTGCAGTTTTGTATTTGTAAAAGTAAAACCAAATTCGTAAACATATCTGACGTCAAGTCAACACAACGTGAAGATTATGAACATTTTTATTTAAAAAAGCAGCAAACTTCACAATACATAATTATAAAAAATATCAAGTATTTATAAGCAAAGCACAACAATTGCAATATGTCTGTTGATATTTGGAGACCTCCACAACAAATGCTTGCTTATTGCATTGTATATGCTGTCTGCCATGAAACAAAATGGCTGTCAGAGCTTCAGAGAGCAAGGCTGTGTCCGAAACCGCCTACTACTCAGTAGGTACTGCATTTGAATTTAAAACATACTACTCGGCCGTTAGAAAAGTGCGTTCTATACAGTATGAATGTGAAAAGTATGAATGGAATTCGGACGTACTACATCCGCCATTTTGTCATGGTCACGTGACCTACCTGCGTCAGTTGCGTCACCTCACTTCCATTCATGAATTCTCTTACGGGGCAATATGGTATAGCGCAGCGTGCATGGGCTGCGCACTTCAGAATCTCGCCGGAAGTAGTAGGTCATCCGGTTACTTCTCGCCTACTGATTTTCGAATTCTATGAATTCGGACATACTACTCGGCTCGCATACTGATTTTAGTGTACTACATAGTATGGAAGTATGCGGTTTCGGATGCAGCCCAAGAGTTTCAGAGGTTGACTGGAAGAAAGGGGAGGAGCCATCACAAAAATAGCTAGCTGGATTCAGAATTGTTTATAATAAGTGCACTTGAATTATTTAATGTTTTTGTGGTCAAATGGGAAAGAATGTGTTTATAATATACAATAAAAAATGCACACTGTCCGTCGTTGAATTGATTTACCAATTAACATTTTTACTATTAATGCAGTCATAAATTGTCATAAATAATTTGTCACAAAATACACATATACATCAAATATGAATGTTTATTTATGATGAAAATCTCTAATAAATGGGTGATTACATTAATACAAGATTGTATTTTAGAAGTGGTGGCGGGCAAGCAGAAGCACAACCCCCCACCCACTGTTTGAAAAACATAATACATGCTCAGCAGTAAGAATGTGAATTTCACAATTTACAGTTTTGTACTTGTAAAAGTAAAACCAAATTCGTAAACATATCTGACGTCACGTCAACACAACATTAAGATTATGAACATTCACATTAAAATAAGCACCAAACTTCACAATACATCATTATAAAATCTTTTTAATTACGCATTTATAAGCAAAACACAACAATTGTAACATGTATGTTGACATTTGGAGACCTCCACAACAAATGCTAGCTTATAGCATTGTATATGCTGTCTATCTTGAAACAAAATGGCTGTCAGAGCTTCAGAAGGCAAGAGTTCCGGAGTGGTTGGCTGAAAGAAAGGGGTGTAGCCATCAAAAAAAATGTTAGCTGGATTAAAAATTGTTTATAATAGGTGCACTTAAAATATTAATTTATTTTTCATACATTTATTTTGTAATAAATACACATACACATCAAATATGAATGTTTATTTATAATGAACACATCAAAAAAAAAATGGGGTGATTATTTTAATACAAGATTGTTGTTTAGGAGTGGGGGATGGGTAACAAGTAGCACAACCCCCACCAACTGGTTGAAAAACATATTACAGGTTCAACAGTAATAATGTGAATCTCAGATTTTTACTTGTAGAAGTGACAATTGAAATCGTGCTTACAAACTTGTTTGTATCTACACCAAATTCGCAAACAGTATATTTGATGTCACTTCAACACAGCAACATCGAGATTAAAAACATTTACATTCAAGAAAAGAAAATACACCAAACTTTATAATACATCATCATAAAATCTATTAATCGAGCATTTATTAGCAAAACACAATAATAGCAACATGTTTGTTGACATTTAGAGAGCTACAAAACCAATTCTAGCATACAGCACTGCATATGCTCCCTGCCATGAAACAAAATGGCTGTCAGAGCTTTAGAGGGGGGAAGTCTAGATCGGACATGTGGCCGGCTGGAAGTGCGAGGTGCACATTAATACAGCAGCATTTTTTTATGACACTGTATAACAATAATTAATATTTTACAGTACTGTGACAGTTGTGTTTAGCGTTGGGGTGGGGGTAGGCGTTAAAAAATACAATTTATTGGGTAATTTAGTAGATAACATAAATAATACTCTGTACAACTACTGTTTTTAAAGCTCTGTGATGGTTGGGTTTAGGGTTAAGGTGGGGGTAGACGTTAATAAAATACAATAAACAGGAAATTAAATAAATGATGAAATAATTCTCGTTAACTTCCGGCCGTAAAAGTGTCCGATCTACCAACAGCCCTTCAGTGGGCAAGAGTTTCAGAGTGGCTGGCTGGAAAAAAGGGGCGGAGCCATCACAAAAATAGCTAGCTGGATTAAAAATGTTTTATACAATTGACAAATTAATAACTTAATGTTTTGTAAACAAATTAAGAAGAAAATGTTCATAATATATAAGAATATAAATGCCCACACTTTTACAATTTTCTTTCTTTTCAAGTTTTACAATTTTCTTGTGCAATAGTTTTTCTAGTAATGCAGTCATAGAGTATTATAAAAAAAATTGTCATTAATGCACAATATACACCAAATTTAAATATATTTATATTGAAAATACTCAAAGAAGGGTGATTATATTCCTACAGGATTGTTGTTTAGGAGTGGGGGATCGGCAAGCAGACGCCCAGCCCCCACCAACTGGCCAGAAAAAACACATGCTCAACAGTAATAATTGGAAATCTCACAATTTACAGCTTTATACTTGTAAAAGTAAAAATGTATTTGTACAAATTTATATGTTAATCTGCACCAAATTGAGACATTTTGAAGACCTCCACAAGAAAAGCTAGCATATAGCATTTTATATGCTCCCTAGCCATAAAAACAAAATGGCTCTCAGAGCTTCAGAAGGCAAGACCTTCAGAGTGGTTGGTTGGAAGAAAGGAGCGGACCCATCACAAAAAAAGCTAGCTGAATTAAAAATGGGTTTTAACAAGTGCAAATGAATAATTACTGTTTTATTTTGTGGACAAATTGGCAAGAATATGGTTATAATTTACAAGAAAAAACAAACTGCCCACACTCCATTTTACTTGTAATGCTGTCATAAATTGTCAAACACTTTGTCATAAATCCACACATTTATAAATGTATATTTGTAATGAAAACATCGCAAAGATTGTTCATTATATTCTTAAAGGATTGTTGTTTAGGAGTGGGGGATGGGGAAGCAGACGTACAGCCCCCACCAACTGGCCAGAAAAAACACATGCTCTGGAATAATAATTGGAAATCTCACAATTTACAGCTTTATACTTGTAAAAGTAAAAATTTTATTGTACTTACAAATCTGTTTGTTAATCTACACCAAATTGAGCCATGTATGTTGACATTTGGAGACCTTAGCATATAGCATTGTATATGCTCCCTTCCATGAAACAAAATGGCTCTCAAAACTTTAGAAGGTAAGAACTTCAGAGTGGTTGGTTGGAAGAAATGAGCGAACCCATCACAAATATAGCTAGCGTGATCAAAAATTGTTTATAATAAGTGCAAATGAATAATTACCGTATTATTTTGTAGACAAATTGGGAAAAATATGTTTATAATATACAAGAAAAAACTGGCCACACTCTGTTGAATGATTTTACAATTTTATGTATAATAGATCATGTAAATACTATATATGTATATTTGAAATAAAAACATCTCAAAAAGGGTGATCATATTATATACTGGATTGTTGTTTAGGAGTGGGGGATGGGCAAGCAGATGCCAGCCCCCACCAACTGTCATATATAACACATGCTCAACAGTTAATAATGAGAAATCTCACAATTTAGTTTTGTACCTGTAAAAGTTAAATTTAAAACTGTACTTACAAATTTG